ARARASASATTGAAATAGCGATTAGAAGTATATTAAATATACACCAACAAAACACAGGACCACACACCCAACATCTGTCCGCTCACCTGAAAAATAAATGGATAAATACATGGAGGGCATATATAAAAATATACTCATACTCATACATATATAAAGATATACATACATACATGCCTACATTCATAAATATTGTCAGTATATACACACAGACATATACACACTCAGTGACCTGTCAGAACCCCTGGATCAGAGCACCTGTTTGTGAGCAGTTGTGAACATGTGTGTATATACAAGATTTCTCCAATGGAATATTTAATAGTGACTGTGGAGGACCGAGACCCAACCCCCAAGACAYGAGGCAGACATAGGGAAGACCAGAGCCCAAGGGCCTGAGAGGGATCCCGAGCGCAGAGCCCCAAGGGGCACCCACACGGGAAGATCCGTCCACCCACCCCCCAGATCAGACCATAGGGGAGAACTGGGAGAGTCCCCCCAGCGACCACACGTACAGCCCCCGGGGCCAGCAGCGACAAGCTCATGGGCCCCACCAGCACCCGCCATACCAGAGCAGATCCAGGAAAGGGCACAGAGGTCCAGACCCCCAGGGCACCCCCCACCCCCACCCAGACCAAAGCCCGACAGGTCCAGAGGCCCCGAGCCCCAGCAGGCAGTCACCAGGCCAGGCCGGCACACACCCCACCGGGGGGCCGAGCAGCAGTGGGCCCCCAGATAAACCAGCAGGAGGGGCAGCCCAGACCGCAGCCTGACAAATACCCAAACATACACAATCGCACCATCCCACCCTCATCCTCACCCCCACTCAGTCAAAGACATACAAAGWCGCCACATTCCACTCATACCCCCGATACACACTCTATACCCCCCAGGTCCAGGACATGCATCCACCCCCTATTGGAGGCAGCACACACCTGAACCCAGGAGGTAGACCCAATCATTCTGAGGTGGAGAGRAGCAGATAGCCAAGGCCCGGCCCGGGCCGCACCAGGACGCCCGGCCAGCCCCCTGCCGCAGAGAAGCCACACCCATGACCACCCCACCACACCGCCAATGACCAAGTGCACCCCCCCAGCCGTCCACCTCCCTGAACCTGGCAGCCACCTCGGCCAGGGGACCACCCACAGGAACCAAGAGCCACATCTCAGGAGACCAAGCAGCACCAGGGAGGATGGAGAGCCAGCCCCGTCCCCGGCAAACGTCCAAGCCCCGAGCCCACCCACAGCCCAGGACCGCACCCGGCGGCCCGCCCTTCTTCAGGACCCCCTCCCCAAATGGCAGTTGGGGAACGGGATGGGAATAAAGACCCTGACACCCCCCCCACCCACACACCCCACCAGATGTACTGCTGGTGCGTGTTGTTCTATAGAGTAATTAAAAAAAGGAAAGAAGAAGAGGCAGAGGTCGGCGTGGTGCCAGTTTCCCCTCCACCACTACTCTAACCCAAAACCCTAAGTGTCTATATGCAAACCACATAACGGGCAACTTCACTGATGGAAGGGGTCATAATTTAGTTACCAGAGGGCCACATCTTAACRCACACTTTGGTGAGCTGAAATACAACAACAGAAGACTCCTGTGTGGTTTTGGTAAAAAGACTTCACCTCACAAAATGTCTCATATTTAGCTTTGTGCAACATAGCATTAGTGGGGACTTGTATGAAATCCTTTTATGACTGACAACATATCTAAGCAGACTAAAACAAATGCACAACCTGTGTGCAAGTGTTTGTGTTTCACTGTTTTCTKACATACATTTATGATGCCTGCAAAAAGAAACAGCATTTCACAGATTGTTTTTTCCCCACAAGGTTTTTCACAGAAATCTGTTACGTTTTTAACAATTAGGTAAGGAGATGTGTCAACTTTTCTGTTATAATTTGATTTATTATTGGAGTTTTTGGGGTTAGAACCACAGTAGTAAAAAGCTTTACAGATATGGTGAATAAAATGTTCCAATGAATAATAAAAAAACAGTATATTCATGTTGTGAGCTTGACAATGGTTTTAAAGAGAGAAACTGAGTCCAAGCACAGAATAAAGAAAATACTTGTCTTTAATAAACTATAAATAGTCACCATGACCCCAGTGTTCATTAGCACTGGCAGCACAATAACTCAGGTTAGCACTGATACCTCCCAGCAACAAGGTCCTGGGTTCGATCCCTGATTCTGACCCGGGTCTTTCAGTGTGAACTTTGCATGTTCTCCCTGTGCTTGTGCGGATTTTCTCCCACAGATCAAAACAATGTTCAGGTCCAAGCCTTTTTTGCAATCTTAGTGGGATTTGCCTGATTAAGTAAAATAAAATGCAGTCCCTCTGTGGTGTTTTTTTAAACACATTGATTAAAAATATGACAAGTGTTTATTTAAAAACATACAAAAGAAAAAAAAACTTATAATTAAAAAAACACCAATTTATCCAAAATTACAAAAATAAGCCACAAAATAAACCATATATATTTTTGGAGGCTTGAATGTTTCATTTTATTCAAGAGAGCCAAGACAGGCCAAACGTTTGGTGCAGCAGAGGGAGTTGTGACAGAAATGGACCTTCATGTGGCCATCACTAGTGCAATCTGATCTAAACAAACAACACACATGTCTGTGATTTAAACCAATAGAAAAGGAGCAATCAGGAGGAGGAGCAGGTGTCATCTGACTAATCAGAGAGCAAAAAATGGRTATAAGTGGTCCCACTGCAAACTTTTCATTAAGAGCTTCTTGTACAACAGACTAAAGTCTGAGTGTGGGAGCAAGTTTTAATTTCTTTGTCCCAAAGCTAATTTTTAAGCTGCTAGAAACATGGTGAGTAAGAAAGYTTTATTCTGATTTGGGATCTTGAGGTTTTCACTTCTCATTTTTTAACCATTTGAGGCCACAAATAAGCTTTTTATACCTTTTTTTTAATAGTTTTTTTTTAATCTAGTCTTGGTGTGATTTTTTTTTAACTATTTTACCATAGCTGTAGTTTAGAGAATGATTAACTTTTTGTAATTTTTGTCTATATAAAGTTATTCATGGGAGTATTTCCTATCTGATTCACACCCCTGATTTTAAAACAAAAGATGTCTTCAGCTTTATAGATTTTTTTTTTCCACATTTTGTCATGTGGAGGTCTGTTAATAAAGGCTAATGAATCACAGGGCTGCAGGCTGAACAGATAAAACCCTTTAAACCATTTGTTTTCTAGTTCACCACACATTTAAGCAAACTTTTATTCCAGCTCAGTTTAGTGAATTTGTCAAATCAAATGGTCACAATGGTGTATGTGTTTTTTTTTTTTCTCCATCTCTTTGCTCTTGCTTGTGAAGAGCAATGCAAGTAGGGATGTGGGTAAATTGTTTGTCCAATCGGACAGCAAATTTAAAAACCTACAAAATAAAACTAAAATCATGTGATTATCTGAAGTATGAAGGAAGTTCTGGATGTTTTTGGTGAAATCAGCTCATTTTTGCTGCAGTTCACAGCTGAACCATGAGTCTTTGTAACCATTTCACCTTTTAGCTCGTCGCTTCAAGAAGTTGTCTTGAGAATTAGGAAGATTCATTCTGGTCTCTGTAGGAAGCATCTTGTATCATAAAAACAAAACTTTTATAAAATCCAATGCAAAAGTAGCAGGAAATGAATGAGATTTCATGGCTCTTATCAGCAAACTGCAACATCAAATCAACTTAATGTGTCTTAAAATGCCAAGAAATAAACTCTTTAAAAAATCATGTGATTTGTTTTGTAAACAAAGCTGTGAAATGTGTCAAGTGATGAAGATGAGCATCAACACACTTTGCTAATAGCTTCCTTCCAAAGCGAAGGACAAAAGCAAGTGCATTATTTAATTTGGATCAAAGGCAGATAAAACATTTGTCAGCTGATCTCTAATGGGTCACTGGAAAAAAATTATTCTGATCATATTTTCAATTGTCTCTTCAAAACACTGACAGACAGTAAACTCGATGAGGCTGCAACCAACTTCCTGACGTTGGCACAATTTGTTAATCTGTAGGAATGACAAAAGCAGGAGGAAATAAATGCACAGAGCAGTGTTGCACAATCCAGCCACAGCAGTTTGGAAGAAAATGGTGGCTGCTGAAGTATCAAAACCCCTACAGTACAAGTAGTTTCTCTAATGCTAAGCTTTCACGATTAGATTACCAAGTCAGACTCACCCAAGTATAACCATTATTAATATTAAAACATGTTTCTCTCYCAGCGTGAGTGCATCTCAGTACACGTTGGTCAGGCCGGAGTCCAGATTGGCAATGCCTGCTGGGAACTTTACTGCCTGGAGCATGAAATCCAGCCGGACGGCCAGATGCTGACTGACAAAAGCATTGGAGGAGGAGATGATTCCTTCAACACTTTCTTCAGTGAAATTGGATCAGGAAAACACGTCCCCAGAGCTGTTTTTATGGATCTGGAGCCCACTGTCATTGGTAAGCAGAGCCATATTTTGTTTAAATTAAACACAAAGTAGAGTGAAGTGAAATGTAGGAACCACCAATGATTTTAAATTCCTCACCCAATCAGATGAGGTGCGCACTGGAACCTACCGGCAGCTGTTCCATCCTGAGCAGCTGATCACCGGTAAGGAGGATGCTGCCAACAACTACGCCCGTGGACACTACACCATCGGGAAGGAGATCATTGACCTGGTTCTGGAAAGGATCCGCAAACTGGTGAGTACGGTCAATTCAAAGCTCTTCAGRTTTTAATGAAGGCAGTGAAATGACTAAATGTGTTGTCTGTCCTCAGGCGGACCAGTGCACAGGTCTTCAGGGCTTCCTGGTCTTCCACAGCTTTGGTGGGGGCACTGGTTCTGGTTTCACCTCCCTGCTGATGGAGCGTCTGTCGGTGGACTACGGCAAGAAGTCCAAGCTGGAGTTCTCGGTCTACCCGGCCCCCCAGGTGTCCACTGCTGTGGTGGAGCCCTACAACGCCATCCTGACCACTCACGCCACCCTGGAGCACTCGGACTGCGCCTTCATGGTGGACAACGAGGCCATCTACGATATCTGCCGCAGGAACCTGGACATCGAGCGTCCCACCTACACCAACCTGAACAGGCTGATCAGCCAGATTGTGTCCTCCATCACCGCCTCTCTTCGCTTCGACGGYGCCCTGAACGTGGACCTGACTGAGTTCCAGACCAACCTGGTGCCGTACCCTCGAATCCACTTCCCCCTGGCCACCTACGCCCCGGTCATCTCTGCTGAGAAGGCGTACCACGAGCAGCTGACCGTGTCAGAAATCACCAGCGCCTGTTTCGAGCCGGCCAATCAGATGGTGAAGTGTGACCCTCGACACGGCAAGTACATGGCCTGCTGCCTGCTGTACCGCGGAGACGTGGTGCCCAAAGAYGTCAACGCCGCCATCGCCAACATCAAAGCCAAACGCAGCATCCAGTTTGTGGACTGGTGTCCCACCGGCTTCAAGGTTGGCATAAACTCTCAGCCGCCCACCGTGGTCCCCGGTGGAGACCTGGCCAAGGTACAGAGGGCCGTGTGCATGCTGAGCAACACCACCGCCATCGCAGAGGCCTGGGCTCGACTGGACCACAAGTTTGACCTGATGTACGCCAAGAGGGCCTTCGTCCACTGGTACGTAGGAGAGGGGATGGAGGAGGGGGAGTTCGCTGAGGCCCGGGAGGACATGGCAGCTCTGGAGAAGGATTATGAGGAGGTTGGAACCGACAGCCTGGGAGAAGAAGATGAAGATGGTGAAGAATATTAATCAGAGAATTACTAAATCAAAATAAATTTTTTACGTGCATTACTTTGTCTGAGTTTTAATGCTCTAAAGCCAATTTTCCAGGCACATAGTTAAAATCTATATCGCATTCAAGTAACTTCTACTTTTCAGTATTTCTGAAAATGCTATGTATATGTCAAATATATAAAAATAAATTGGATTTTGCATCATGATCTACCTTGAAACTGGTCTCTGGCTCTTTCAGAACCTCCAACCATTTCTGACATTCTCAGTTCAGCACATCTTCACAACAGTGCTTCTGGGGAGGGGTTCTCTGTGGGGTGGGSTCTCAGCTGCAAACTAAGCCCCAGGGAGGAGCTTTATGTAAATAGGCGGAGCTTTGTATCAGCAAATTCCACATGGCTACCACAGATTTTTTTTTTTAAACATGCATGAGTCAAAGCAACACTACGCACTTGAGGGAATAACAACATGATATAAAGATCAGTCAGTTTTGCAAAATACCCCACCCCCCAGTAAGTTCGTAATCTTCCTAATTTGTTTCTATCATATATGTAAGTTATTTAAAAAGCACAGTTCCATCTAAAATGGTTAAAAATTGGAAAATTACATTATGTGGAACATTAACGTTATGGCATCCATCAATATAACAATCCATTGAAGTGGGCGGAGCCAGAGCAAGCACCTCCCATCAAACCACTCGTTCAATTAGACGACTTTACAGCTCTTGATTCCTTAAACTGTTTTTTCCCCCACTTGAATCTCATGGATCTCTCGATTTTAATTATGGATTTAAAAAGTTTGAGGTCTAAATTTCATCAAGGATGACCAAGGAAATTAATATTCTAAATGAATAGGCCTACAAATCACAGAAGCTTAAGGATTACAGGTTTTCAAGTTTTCAGTGTTAGATCTGACCGGCTCAGATTCAGCTCTTCCTGTTACAATAAAAGGATCTTAAAGGGATAAACCTTTTGCTGCAATGAAACACTGACAGTTTTACATCACTCAAAGCTCTGCACAAACAGTGCTGCAACTTACCTTAATGTAATAGAACCAAAATTTACAAAATGTTTCTTTAAATACAAAATTAAAAATCTGCATAAATGAAAAAGAGCCTAATGGTGACAAATATTCAGCAAAGTTGTCAAATATTTATCTGAATGTCTGCTGCGGGCAATAAGAATCATGTGACGTTAAAAATTTTCATATCAAAGTATCATTTTGTATGAATATAAAAGTTCGTCTAGTAATACTTTAGCAGAGAATACACAAAAGGCAGAATTTTTTAATATATCAAACCACTTTACAGCACAGTAATTTAACATTTTTATGCTGAAATGCATGTAGAACAGTTGTTAAAATAGAGYTGAAGTGCAACGATATAAAATATCTGGAGTGCAAATTGTGCAATTGTTCTGATAGAAAGTTACCATTTATGTTTACTTTAGTAAACTTATTTAGCTTTGTGCAATGTGTTGTAGTGGCAACATTAAAATCCTTTGTCAGACAGCTTTTCTAAGCAAACTAAATGCAG